TTTAATTAGTTCGTACGAAAATAATAAATTGTTATATAAATTTGTTTATGAGTAGGATTTTTTGGAGAGTGTGCAGGGTTTTACGGTGCCTCAAAGATACACCCTAACTTTCAGAGCTTCTAGAAAAATCAATCTATTCTCCAATTTCAGTCAATTTCTCTCTCGATGCAGTACTATCCTTTGCTTACTTTGCTCAAAAATAATAAATCGATTTGTGAATTGGGAATTTTTTTTGGGAAGCTTTCGATATTTTATTCGGTGTCCCACATCCTGAGCTTTCAGAGCTTTTATAAAAATCAATATATTTTCGAATTTGACACAAAATATCTCTTGATGAGTACTACCTTTTGATTACTATGCTCGAAAATAAGAAATCGTTATTTGAATTGCGATTATTTTTGCCAAGTTTACGGGATTTCACTGTATCCCAAAGATACATGCTGAGTTTTCAGAGCATCTAGCAAAATCAATATATGCTCGAATTTGAGCCAAATTCTCACTAGATCATGACATTTATGGTTCTGGTTCAGTCGTTATTTGACTTTGTTTTATGAAATATGTTTTAGCGAGAACTTTTGCCTCCTCGATGTACCGTGAACTTTGAGAGCTTCTAAAAGATCAGTCTAAACTCACACTGGACTCAAATTCGGTCGGAATGCAGTTCTATTCCTTGATTACTTTGTGCGAAAATAATTTCAGAGCAGGGCAGGAACTTGATTTTGTTTCGGAGTCAGAAATGTTCTGGCGAAAGTCCCAGATTTTGCACTGTCCCGATGCACTCTGGGCTTGTTAAGCTTCTAAAAAACTCGATCTAAACTGAAATTTGAGTAAAATTCGGTTTTACCCTTTAGTTACTTTGTGGTTACTTGAATTGGTTTAGGAGTTTGAAACATGTTTTGGCGAGAGTGCCAGAAAAATCAGTATCTATATACTCACATTTCAATAAAAGTTTGTCTGGGTGCAGTTCTACCCTTTGCTTATTGTGTGCGATAAATCGTAATATAATTTGGTTTAGGTGATAGCAATCACGTTTTGGCGGTAGTGCAAAATTACGCAATGTACCCTCGATCTTCCCTGAACTTTCTAGAACTTCCTGCGAAATTCTAAGAAAACCAGTCTATTCTCAAACTTGACTAAAAATCTGTCTGAATGCAGTTCAGATTTTCAGATTTTCAGATCTGATTATTTTGTACGAAAAATATAGATCGTTACTTGAATTGGTTTAAAAGTTGAAATTTGTTGCGAGAACGCAAGATTTCACAATGTTCCATCGATGCATTCTAAGTTTGTGTAGCATCAAAAAAGATTACTCCATCTTCAAAACGCGCAATTGAGCGAATGACCATAAACAAAAAGCTGAAAACCCGAGCGCAGTTCATCAAGCACCATCATCGATTTCCCCAAGAATGTCCCAACAGGTTGCGTAGCCATTTGCGGCAACAAGCCGTCTGCATTTACGGAGATTGCAGCCTTCTTCCAAATTTGGTCTAGAATTTAGTTGCACGATCGGGTATTTAATAATTCATGACTCCGACCGATGTTGAATGATGGTGGGCCCTACTGGATTTACATCAGCGGTCTGCTCACATGTCTTCAGTTAAAGAATGAATGGAAAAAGCTGAACTGAACCATCCCTCAGAAAGCAACATTTGCTCGATGAAAACTCCGCAAGCTTACAGGTGGGCATTGGCATGTCGACTATTGTTTTTTCGAAGCAGGAAAGAGCAAAAATAAATATTTCCATCTAAAAATAGACGAGAGCAGTTATCAATGGAAAACATCGGGGAAAAAGAGGAACGTGAAAGTGTCACAGACCGTGCACAAACGCAAGTTCGATATTTTTATTTTCGTCTTGGCTGAATAGTGAGGTATGCTTCGAAAGGTTCAAACAGCCGCTTAAAGGTTAATGGGTTTCGGTATCTGGAAGCTTGATGATGTTATTTCGAATTGTGAAATGTTTTCCTGTAGATAAGAATGCCATTATTGAGTGGCATATTGTCTATTTCGGTTTTTAGGGCGCAGTCGTAGATTTTACATTCCGCACACCAAATAACGTGCATTGTTTTACTTTTAACATATTATGGGGGCTCAAAAGCAGTTGAGTCAAGGCCTTTTCAAGAATGATAATTTCCAGTGGCGTGTTAGAATGCAATTTACCTTTCATCGCAATTTTAATAAAATAGACAACGCGTCCAGTTATTTACGAAAACATTTTTGAATCACTCTGTATATATGAGCATGAGCTCATTAAGTTTTAATTCTGTAACAACTTGAATCAGTGAAAGTTGGCTGAAGAAAAAACAACCAAGTATTCGCATAATAAGCGAAACAAGGAAGCTAAACTAAGAAAAAACAAGTAATAATTCCATAAATATAACACTTGAAAAAAAGTAAGTTCTGGAGCTGAACGCAATAAATTATCAACAAATTTAGAACTTTCCAAAACGGAAATCTAGCTGCTGCAGCAAACCATCCAAGTTGCGAAGCAAAGCAGCAAAATGCGCAGTTGGATCCCATTAGTAAGGACATATTTTAATGAGTGAAAACCTCCTTGACTTTGGCCTATCTCCCAGAACTATAAAGTTTTCAAACCCGGGCCAGTAAATTGAAATATTTTTTTCGACAGCCTTGACATGTTAAGTGAAATGCTAATACGTATTTTTAGACTTAAAAACATTTCAAACTAATTAATGACTACGATAAGGTAATGAATTACTATAATCAAAACATCAGATAGGGGCTTTGTGTGTTGGGTATGGACTTTATTTAAATAATACTGTACAAAGAAACAATTTCAACAGTCAAATGCTCATAAACAGAAAGAAATGATACGCTCATTCGTAAAAAAACACCGCCATCACGTTTTTTTCTGCAACGAAAAAGAGACATAAAAGGAAATGGCGCACAAAGAGCGTCGGTCGGTCTGATCGAGAAGCTAAAAAAAGCGACGCTCGGCGTCGTAACGGAGTGCGGGGGGCATCGGGACGCCGCTGGCGGTGAGCTTCTCGCCATTTAAGGGGAGACTTGCGATGCTGCTAATCGACCGGTAGGCGGACCGCAATTTTTCTCTATCTGTATGCCGTTGTTAATCGTCTTACATTTTTTGCCGTTTTGTATTTTAAACCCGTCCTTTAATACTAATTACGCACTAATAACTTGAAGCTGCAGACGTTCGAGAAATGGAAAATATTTTTTGCCAGAGAACGTTAGAGGATCGCTAATGGGTTCTGGGCTTGAGATTTCAACAATTTTCCAGTCAGGATTCAAATCCGAAGACAAACAATTTGATTACGCTGAAAACAACAGACATGCTCTCAATTTATCTGCAATTAAATCGCAACAGATCAACTTAACCACCGTGGTCAGAAGTCGAGTAAAATCTTAGTAAATATAATTTTTTTAGTTCATAAATCAGCATATCTTCCAGGGGAGACACGTAGGTGTTTAAATGTACCCCTGCTTTGCTTCATTTCTACGTATGAAGCACAAAAAAATTAATTCTGTGTTTCAACGTTTGCGTCTTTTCCTGCATGCACCTGAAAGCTTGAATTAAAGAAGAATCTGACGATCAATACATGATAATTCAAAATTGGTGTCATTCTTTTAGAGCTGTTATAGGAAAGTTTTTAGAGGAACCGAACAAAAAAAATGTAAAACAACAAGTCTTACTAAAAACCGGAATATTT